TGAGAGAGAGACAGAGAGAGAGAGAGAGAGAGAGAGAGAGAGAGAGAGAGAGAGAGAGAGAACAGTAATTTGTGCTGTCTTGGCCTTCTAATTTGGTTGACATTCTGTCTCCTCATATTTTGATCTAATCTGATTTTGGTGACTTCGTCCTCTTTCCCCAGAGCTTTAATGGTCTTGGGCAGCCCTGGTTATTTGAAGAAAGTATTTAGCTATTATTTAACTCTTCATATTTAAGCTACATGCAAACCAGTGTTTCAAAAAGAAACCATCAAAACGCTTTTAGTAAACTGGGAAGTTTAAGGCCAAATTTAAGCTTATCTAAATTTAAAGAAAAGAAAGAGCTCTCATACACAACTCCAATTTAGACTCACTTGGATAAATATATATTTTATATATAAATTCAGTATACTGTGTGACATGTAATTTGGATTAAATTTGTAACGACCTTGGACTAAGCGTCTGCTTAGGTGAGTGCAGGGACCGGGGTTTGATCCCCAGCCCCGAATGCCTCGTGGGCCTCACCCCTGGGCGCATTGAGCGATCACCAAGTTTGGGTGTGGGGAGGCTGAAAACAGGAGGATCACTGAGTCCAAGGTGCGTAGTGAGACCCTGCACAAAATATATTTTTAAAAAAATCGTAACAACCTCAAACAGTTGATCAAATGGTTTAATTTCACTAGATCTGAAATTAAACTATTTGAGGAAAAAATGGCATGCATCTTTAGAAATAATTTTCACACTAAAACATACTGAAAAAACTGCTATGAATTTATTTGATGGGTTTGAATCTTGAGAATAAGAGAAAATAGTTGTGGCCTCCATTTTTTATACGTTTCATTTTGTAAATGGAAGCCAAGTGTGTTTATATCTTTTAGCATTTTAAACCTAATGTAAATAATGTATTTCACAATGAACTAGCATGTAATCATATAAACTTCATATACAAGTATAATTTAAAAAGAGGAATCCAATAAAGTTTATGCTTCATTAAAAAATGGTTAAGCCTATCATACACGTAAACATTTATTTAGGTAAATGAATAGCTATATACAATAAAAAATTTTCCTTGAAATTATACTAATGACTACGCATCAAGTGAAAATTATTAACCTGTTAAGTAAATTACCCCCTAACAAGAAGCCCAGGGCAAGGTTTTCAAATGACTTTCTAACCTGAGCCTCATCTTTGCCATCTAAGCCTAAGACGAGAAGTAGCACAATCAGCTCTCAAACTTGTAAGAATCTGGCTTGCAGGCCGGACAGATAGCTCAGTGGACTAAAGCACCTGCTTAGGCAGACGCGGGGACCAGGGTTCGATCCCTGGCATGCTCTGCCGACCCTGCCCTGGCGCATGCTGAGAGAGTGATTGTGAC